CCATACCGCACGAGCCCGTGAGGTGCCCACAGGCGATCGAACATGTGTATCCGGAGAGGATTCGTCGAACTCGTTGGAATGAGTGAAAGCAGACGTGACGCGACGTAGAACGCAGACGGCCCGCCGCCTATAATCGCCAGCTTCATGGGCGGCATTTTAGAAAGAGACCAACACGAAAACTAAAACAGGCCCGATGAACGAGTCATCTCGCGAAAGAAAGAAATTTAGACGCCTGTACGCGTGACACGTTGCTGACGAATAACCAGTCGAACATACGTTTGATATTGTTTCTGTTTGGTTGGATGTCAACAGCCCTCTTAGCTCAGTGGTAGAGCGCGTCACTCGTACTTTCTGTACATGACGAGGTCAGTCGTTCAAGTCGGCTAGGGGGCATCTGCATGTTCATATGTGTTTTTTGTTGGCTCCACGAGTTGACTAGACAACCTTTATTCTAAAACCAAGCGTAACTCGCAATCTGCAATGTGACTTCTTCAAGCTCAGGAGGCAACATGGAACTCGCTTACAGATGGATGGAGATGATACCTGGCTCACAATTGAAATGACTGTCCATGTATTCCGGCCAACTTCATGTGTTCGGACTGGCCTGAATCACAAAACAGAAGTAGTCTCTCAGTGGTAAACGGGCTAGTTGTTCAGCCATTCATGCATGCACCAATACCTATCATTGGTTCTGGCTTTCTTGGTTTCAGTACTCAGCCCTAATTGCGAGGGTTACTTGTTCAATGCGTTTTACTGGCTGTAGGCATGATGATCTATTTTGTCGGTACATGTTTTTCGTTCCAGAAATGTGAAGTCATGCACATGCCTAGCGCTAGCATTCCCATTCAACTTGATCTTGTTGATGATCCCACATTTACCGATCAATACTTGGCTTTGGGTGCACAAATGTTCGATGCTCTTGGTCTTGGTGTGGAAACTCTGGTAGTAAGCCTGTCTCTTCGTCGTGTCTTTATTCTGTACCTATGAGAACCACCATTCTTGCTGGCCTTAGAATCGTCCCCGACATTCCTTTCCCTGTCTGGGCCTACTACCTTGCGTTCAATGGTCCAATTCTGACCGGAAAACCTTGATTGTCTTCATCGATGAAACCAC